TTAAAGGTGACCGAAATCTAGACCTTCGGCCACTCCCGCTGGACCCATAGTAAATGAAGAAGACGAAGCTGTACCAAAACAGCCTCCATCGGCAGTATACAGACCAGTTGGTCGATTAACTTCAACCCGAGTTGTACGTTGCATACCAGCGGTAATTTGTGCCAACATTCTAGAATCAACTTCAAATTCCTTAAAAGGAAAACAAATTGATGACGTGAACCAGTGGAACTATATGTGTGACGTTATAGAGGTTGTAGCTAAGCCCGTCAATATGACATGCCCTACGCGTCACCCAAACTCACAGCATTACGGTGAACCAAGACTTCTCCAAGTTATGTTGACTTTCGTCAATGAAGTAGAAGCTGTTCTGTTATCGACAGCTCGCTTCCGGAATGGGTCATGTTCCATCCGCTTATTCCCGGATTTTCAGAGGAGCGAGCGCAGACAGGCGAAGCACTATTTGGGCGAAAACCTGAAAGGATCGGTAGTCAGAACCATCCTGGTACAGGGCGTTACTGAGGCTGGAAATCATGATGAGCGCGAAGCGATAACTCATGACCAGAAAAAATGGCGAGGCCCTTAGCATGGAAAAGGTCATAGCACAATCTACCTCCAGGCCGCGTCGATCGCCAAACAACAAAGGATGTGGCCCGAGAATTGCGAAAGTGGTCCTTCAAACTAGACAAAGGTCAGCAATTGTGTTGGAGTGCTGGTATGCGGGCCACAGCAGCCTACCTTCCGAGTTCCGGATCAAAGCAGCATCTACTAAGCAAACAAACGAGAGCAGCCACTTCCTGACAACAATGCGGATAACCTCAGTCAGCTAGCCAGCGAAACTGGCAAACACCCATAGATTACCTGCAAATAGAAAAGCAGAGGTAATGGTGGGATCCATGGATCTAACACAAATGAGTTCATCCCCACATCCAAAAAACGATTAGTGGCCGACCTTTCACCGGTAGATACAGCATTTTATCCAGAACACATCCCACAATTCATTCTTAAAAAGAGAGAAACTTTCGTGCATGTACACCAATGCACAAGGTCTCCTGAACAAGCTTGCCGAACTGTGGCTACGTCAAGCGTCACATGCCTTGGACCTCATATTCATCACAGAAACTTGGTTAGACCCAGAAATTATCGACGCTGAGGTCGCGATACGTGGTGTCCTTTATCCGAAACGATAGCCCTAGCAAGGGCAGGGAAGGGTACTGTTGTACTACTACAGCGACTTGCAGTGCGAACCGGTGGCCGATCTGGAAATGCTGATAATATACTCATTTTGGTGCAGTCTGCGACTGAGACGCAACGACACTTGCCTTTTGGCCGTTGTTTATCGTCTTCCAATGTCCTCCCCAGAGATGGATTCCCGCATGAAATTATCCTTGGTAAGGGTCCTACGAGGACGATACAGCCATGTTCTCATCTCAGGCGACTGCAATATTCACGATTTGGAAGTTATGGCATCCCCCAACGATCAATTCAAGGCAGACCTGCATGAGTATATTGCAAGCGTTTCGCTCTTCAGTTATGTCAGTTCACCCACCTGATTGAGAACCGGAAATAAGCCATTTGTGTTCGATTTAGTGCTCACGAAAGAAGAGCTCATGATTGAGAATTCAAGGATGGAGAGCCCTCTGCGACGGAGCAACCACGTAACCATAATTTACGACTTTGTGTTATGCGGAGTACACACAAGAACATAGTAACTTGTTTCGAACAAGCACCCACTACGACATACTGACAGAACTTGTGGGAGATGCCAGCTGGGAAGTTTCGAATGACTGTTCGATTGAAAGCGTTTGGATGGAGTTTACTGGCAAGTTCAGCGATCTGACTAAATCTGCATCGGTCACCAAACTCCTTCGATCCGTAAGATCACAATCATTCATTCGGGGCAGAACCCGAAAACACATGACAGTAAGGGACGCAGCGTGGCGTGTACAGAGCGAACCCTAGGCTTGACAGTTGGATTAACTAGGTTGTGTATTGTAATCACTGTACCACGCTTATGCGTGAGGGCAAATTTGTACAACAGCAGAGATTAGCGGAAAAGTGTTGTGTTAACAAAAAGCTTCTGTACAGATATGTGAACAGCCTGCGGAATGTGAAACCTGGTGCTCCCCCACTAATATCAACGAATGGATGTGCTCAAACCGCCGCGGATGCAGCTAACGTTCTGCGGCTCTAATACGTTCCAATTTTCCGACGTGCTACCAGCATGTATAACATACGTGTCCCAATCTCCTGGATGACAGTATTTACACATATCACCTTTAGTTCGGCGACCATTTTGAGGAAGCTGCTCTCGTTGCGCACGCATAGTTCACCCGGAATTGAGAACACTCCCACGAAAGCACTGTAGATGGCAGCTAAGAAAATAGCCGAACGACTAACGAGGTTTTCCCAAAGATGTCTAGACGCACAGCAGGTCTCTAACATATGAAAGCAAGCCATCATTGCCCCTATTTTCAAGAGTGGTAGCCGTTCAGAGCCCGCCAACTATCACCCAATGATTCTCCTCCCGGTACATTTAAAGCCGATGGAATCGATCGTAGCTGAGGCTGCAATGGGTTGCTTCGAAAAGTCTAACATCACGGTACCGGCAACCCGGATTCCGTAAGTATCAGTCATGTACTACCAATCTACTTATTGCCCGCGGCAGTTGGACCGAGATAGCCGACAGTGGGACCGCCGTTGATGCCATCTACCTAGGCTTTTCTAAAGCCTTCGACCGCATAGATCACCTAATCCTTCTCCAATAGCTACAAGCGTACGGAGTCGGGAACCCTGTCCTTAGATGGATCGGAAACTTCCTCCTTAAGCGGCGCTTTCAGGTTCGAGTTCGGGGCTCATTTTCTGATCAAATTAATGTGGACTGCGGTGTTCCGCAGGGGTCAGTGTTGGGGCCGCGGTTATTGTTGTTCTTCATTAACGACCTCATTAGTGTCATCAAGTCAAATTTCCTGGCGGGCAATCGACTGTCAGGAAGATCACGATATGCTGCAACGAGATTTAGGCCACTCTGTTGAAGCGTCAAAGGCAAATCTACTTCCGCTAAACACGGACAAGTGCAAAACCGTGCATGTCCTCCACAAGCCCACGTACGCATATAGGCTTGGAGACTACATGCTGCAAACCGCCTCATAGGAGCGAGACCTTGGGGTGGTGATGCAAGACGACCTCGGTTGTTCGGTGTAGTCCTTGAAGGCGTCCAAAACCGCGAACCAATATGTTGGTCTGTTGCGGAGGGCGTTCGATCCCTCCGTCTTCCCACAAATGCCCAATGAATATGTGAGGCCCCATGCAGAGTACGCGATCCAGGCTTGGTAACCCTGGTTAAAACGCAATCTGGTTGTGCTGTAGACCGCCCAGCGAGGGAAAACGAAAAATGTGAAGGGGTTGTCCCACCTGCAATACCATAGGCGACTGAGAGCCAAGGGACTGTACAGTGGCAGACACCGCCGTCTACGGAGTGACCTTATCTCGGCGTTCCAGATTTTGAAAAACGCCGGTCAAGCCGCCGACACCTCCTGAAGCCGCAACACGGAATAGATGAGTCATAACTTGAAATTGGCCACCGAATACAGTAGGCTGGAATGTCGCCCGAATTATTTTTCCCTTCGCGTTTGTCAAATGTGGAACGCTCTTCCGACTTTTGTCACTTCCGCGCCTACGCTACCTATTTTTAAAGAACGACTTGACGATGCTATGCATCACCTATATTACCTGAGCTGATTTCTATCCATTGAGTGGCGACAAGACGTAGACAAACATTGTGCTTATCAACCCCACGAAATCGGGTTAGACGGCTCTACCTATGTGTTGATGTGGATAACATGGTGAATCCACAGGTACGTTTTCCTCTTTTGTGTAACTTCATCGAACTAACGTTATTCCCACAAACCATCCTACGGGACTTGTCAAGCCTTGGCTTTTTTATCCGTATTATACCATTGTTCTACAAGCATAGACGCGAAACCGAATTTGTGATAAATGATCTGACCCGGATTAACGAATGGGCAGAAAGGAACCAGCTCCCGCTGAATCCTGCAAAGTGCCACCTGCTGACGGTGCGCAGCAGCTTCGTCAACACACATCTTTTGGGGCAACAGGGGACTAGTGAATGCGACTTAGGTATAATCGTGCAAGAGAGTATTGGAAATTCACTCCAATGTTCGAAAGCAGCAAGTGTGGCGAACTTGAACTTGAGACTTTTGAGGCGAGCTCTCGGCACTTTTGAGCGACGGCTAGTACCATTGCTGCTTAATTCCTACATTCGTCCTCATGTTGAATATGCAATTCAGGCCTGGTGTCCATGGTTAAAACGAGTCATCCGCCTATTGGAACAACCCAAAAGAAGAGCCACAAAGGCAACGCGTGGACTATCCGGTATAAGTTACAAACTGCGTCTTCGTGTACTCGATGTGTTCACATTAGAATACCGACGGCTTCGCGGAGATCTTATTCTCACATACCGGATACTAACTGAAAGCGAGCATCCATGCACTTCACTGTTGACTCTAGCCCCTTACAAACAAAATCGAGGCAACCACCTGAGACTTTTGACGCAACACTCGCGTCTGAATTGTAGAAAGTATTTTTACTCACTTAGAATCTGTTTACACTGGAATGCATTACCAAAATATGTGGTGAACGCACTAGATATGACGACATTCGAAGGACAGACTTTCATCTTAGTGATAAACTTTGCTAAAGTGCAATGATTTAACCACTGATACTTCACGTTCCACATTGGAACATTTTGATTTTGATTTTCTTTTGCATATCCATTCTGTGGGTCTTGTAAAGTTATGCTTTTTATCCCATCAGACACCATTGAACCCTTAAATGATGTCTCTCAAAGGGAAAGTGGGTATCGGAGCTATTGCTGATTGTCACACTGATGTTTGGTTTCACGAGACCAACGGAGTGGATTAATTAGTCCGTACTCTCCGAGTCAGCGAGGCTACCTTATCACAGCTGGCCCCATTGTGCTTGGTGTCAGGGTGGATTTAGGGTTGATGTGATTACAATGTACCGGTTTTGTTATTTTACCCACCTGAGTCTGTACATGGGAAGCCCATGATATGGAAGAGAAACTGACGTGCCACAGCGAAGGGTCCAAGAATGGATCACAGTTCGAAAAGACAGGTGAGTCGCAAACTCTGAATGGTCCCAAGGTGAGTGTGGGGAACACGGGGAGTAATTTGTGGCAAAATGAGGGACAGTGGGCGTGTGGACAAAATAAGAATCGATCTCCGCGCAGGAGGGAAAAGATAGAAGAAATATACAGCAAGTGAATATGATCATAGATACGACCCAAAGTCTGGTTAAAACAGTATGACAAGCCGCCTGGTGAAGGCAGAAGGAAAGCGGCACCGGGAAGAAATGGATTTCACCGTAAGTCTAATGAGTCGAACAACTGAGGCAGAATATCTCCTGCTTTTCCTTGGAAGAAAAAGCTGAAAGGCATATAAGGTGGAAAACAGGTTACCGGTAGAACTCGAGAAATAGAAAGAATGTTCGCAAGTCAAGAATGAGCTTTATACACTTATGAAGGGCGAATGTTCAGCTATATTATGTTAAACAATAATTACCGTTGCATTTCCGATGAGCTGGAAACGGGCCGATGGGAATGCACAGTACAGTCACATCGGTGTGCTGCAGATAGTATTCAAGTGTCACAAACGTGAAAACCCGTGGGATGGAGTGATGGCATTTGGTTTGAGGCATACACAGAAGGGCCAAGGATCAGAACAGGGGGATCAACAATAAACGCCGGTCCCTGGACAAAAGGAAAAGGTGCCTGCCTTGCAACTTGGAGGTCTCAGGTTCGAGCCTGCGTAGGGTACCGGGCGATCCTTGTAGTATCCTTAGCCCACGCAAGATTAGTGGTGGTTATGTGGCAACCAAGCATCGGTATGGCATACCGGCACACGTTTTTATCCGGAATAGACGCAAATATAGGAGACAAAGTAACCAACACCATGAAAATGACTGACAAAAAACTAACGAGAAATAAAAACAATACCACATAGCTATTAAGTGCGTTTTCAATATGTTAGTGGTTCTCAAATGGTTGCAACAAACAGATTTGTAGACGTAGAACAATGATCCTCGAATAACGAAAGATGCCGTAGAGATGAACCATCCTCAACAATGGGCAGCTGAAAAATCAGTAATGGATGATGCTAAAGTATGGATACTTAGATCCGAGACATCATCAGGGGTGGTTGCCAAGTAGCTCATTCATGTCGTCAAATGTAAGCCAATCATCTAAACAATAGTGATTTTAGTGAAAAGGAAGTGCTTGAACCTGTCCTATCAACTCAACTAAGCTATGTAGTGAAGACAGCTAGCAGGTCACGTGATCTGTCGTAATCGAGGAATGGCAGGCTCATCAGGCACAATATAGAAAATGTTCGGCTTCGAATTGGATCCAAAGTTAAGTAAAAAGTGCACTTGGAGGAGTTGAATATTAGTCAATCGGGACCCCGCAAAACATGAGAAATGATAGGTTGTCGACTAGTTGTCAAAGGTGGCTATTCTTTTTGACGCTTTCAGGCAATATTTAAGCGTGTCTCAGATAGACACTATAGTGTTACGGAGTTACCCATCGCATATCTAACTAAATGACTCATATCAAGCAACAGTAACGAATGAATGGAAGACAGGCGTCGCCGAATCGGGAGCAACACAACAAGATGAGTGAGAGCTTCAGCAAAGCACAGTGGAGGCTACGTGACGGTGATAACAGACGGAATGTCAGCCGAGTCCTGTAGCAGCATCATGCGATTTGAATGCCAGACGCAGGTGGTGAACCATGCAACGCTGTGACAGTAGGTGCAACAGCGATTGCATAACAGGCAGCTCGAACTAAAGGCAAGTCAAAGAAAAAGCTTTATGAATCCTAATGGGTTCATTTTCAGCATTTACATCAGCATTGTTGTTATACTGGAAGATAATATCAAGAAAACATATATAAATGGAGAAAAATAAAACATAGCCACGGATTTCATTCCAACAACCGCTTGCGCAGCATATTTGGGGGTTTCGTTGGGTCAACAAGAAAACGTGACAGAGAAGGTAAGATAGTATTAAGCTACGATGAAGCGCAAGAAAATAAAATCCTAGATGTTGAAAGTGTAAAAGAGAAGGAAAGAAAGTCTCTGTGCAGTGAATGAAATCGACCATTTGAGTGTTAAAAGAACATGCATTGCATATATCAATACGACTAGAGATGATTGAGTCAAATAAGAATTGCATGCAGCATTTTCCCTTGATACATTTCAAAATAGCAAGAAGAATCTCTAGACAAGCTGCTGCATCTAAAAATGTGCTTTAGCAATCCTACGAATACGACGTAGTCTTCCCGAAGCAGTTCAGGATAGATGACGGGGGAGTAATATGACCAATAGGAACAATGCGTGAAGTTACAGACTAAAATGTTAAAGTACGGTACACTGGAAGCACCTTAAGTCTGAAGACATAAAAAGAAAGTTTGCTGATTTTAAGGAAAGTTTCACAGACATGCGTGGACTAAACGATACCGAGATATTTGACAGTAGAAGATCTGGGTATGAGATTTTCGTTTAGTCAAAATGAGAAACTGCAGCTTATCTCCACAAAGAAAATATTACGTCCCTGCATTTAAAAGCGTGGATGAAGATAGCACCACCAGATCTTCTAATCCACGTCGAAACAATGAGGAATCCTGAATAACGGGTGCTAGACACCCCACCGCAACATAGTCAGAAGATTTGCATCCTATGAAATTGGGTTGTATGAAGAGACGTTCCACAAATGTCTAGGATCACACCCGTATTGAGACATTTGTTGAAAATATATGTTCAAGGTAGTGTGAGAGAATCAGCATACTCTTTGAAAGCTAATGGTGGGAGAGTATCCGGACCACTACCTTGGTCGAAGCGGGTTGTAGAAATTGAGTCGATGAACGAGGGTAAGAGGAATGCACTGGATGAGGCGGGGCTGAACTCGAAATTTGGTTTGTCCACATCCATTTCACCGTAAAGTTGAATCAACCCCCCCCCCCCACAAATCACAATAGTTATGGTTGTCTAGAATCGTTTCGACGTATAAGTGGTTTAGCCTATTTGTCTGAGATTTAACTGCTGTCGTTAAGTTCTCGACACAAGTAGATATCTCACATTTACAAGCTCTCTTTCATGCTTCGAAGTCGCTTCACCAATGCAGATGAAAACCTATCAGCCTTTAAGTAGATCGTTTCAACAGGATAACGCATGTTGTAGTCTGTAAGATTTTCACATTGAATCGACAGGTCTCGTTGTTGAAGACTGGAAAATCAGTTAAGGAAAACCTCGAATGGAGCCTTGTGATATTTTCAACAGAGCAATTTCGCCGTTGGATAATTTTGTAAGGACGTCTAGTCAGTTTGACAAAATCAGCACTACGGTATATCACTGAGCTCATGCAGTGGACTGCACTGCACAAAAGAGCCCGTTTTTGTATGGAGTTGCATCATCCACACACTTTGTTCGCCGAGTAACGGATAAAACCTTTTCTCAAAAAGAGGTAAAAAGGCCTGTGTTACTCAGTCATCCCGCTCAGAAGGTGGCAGCGTAAGATGGAGACAGTACATCTTTGCTGAGCAGTTGTGTTATGCTCCTCGACAAATGCATACATATTTCTACCAAGATGAGTGAGGCATGAGTGATACCGACCACAGCGGTCTTTGGTGTATCCCGAGCTGAAACAGAAAAACGTGCAGTGGATTCTCACAAGAATAGATGCCGACAATTAGGCAACGTTACAGACAAAAAGGTGAACGATGAAATAAACCAGAAAAATAATAGAAAATGAAGAAGAAAGAAGGGCATGACAAAATAGTGCACCTTTAAGTTGGGTGCCAGAAGCCTACGGAATGATCTAGTACACATCATCGGATTTCCGCGAAAAGTGTACTGGACTTTCATGCCACACAGGGAAACAGTAAGAAGATGCCGCTTGTACAGACGGGATCAGAATGCCGATTTAGAACCGAGAAGTGCAAAGTGCGTAGGCCGAAGTTGCGTCACCGGGAAACGATCAAGGTGGGTTTATCAAGGTTGACTTTAGGTGTTGGGATGCAACAGCAGCGGATCAGCGCCAACTGCGTGAGCACACCAAGAATGTGCTTTCCGAGATGCAACAAAAATTACTGTTGCACCAGGAAGAGAAACTCCGGTTGTGCAAGCGACGAGCGCCAATGGAGCCCACTGCGTGGACACCGTGTACCTGGTGAAATAGCACAAATGGTCGTGTGTGACTCAGCCGAACCATTCTAGTAAACCACCAACAAAGTCAGCAGCGGCCAATATCTAAGAGAGGATGGGTGAATCAAATGAATAAGTGACATCGCTTGGTGAGTTCGCCGCTCCCGAATGCATTTACGAACCCAGGCCAATAATGCGGTCAATATGGCACGCGTGCAGCGCGATCACCGCTGTTGGTATGCACTTGTACCTGTGAGTGTAGTTAATCGCTTGATGTGAATGTTTACAGGGTGGCATGCTGTCGAAAACGATCACATCGATTAACTGCTTCAGGATATCGGTGATCGTAGCTGGGGGAGACGTGATGCACATTGTCGCCTTGACAGTGCTAGGCTCAAAAGTGCTTACATGCAGTTTGGAACGGGCTACAACCCAGCCATCGCCTTGTATAGAACCGGTATGCATGCCTACTGTATTAACAGGGGTTTGGTACCTGCTGAAGAAGTGGGGGCCGGTTCCGTACCAATCGTGCACACCAGCCTTATTTCTTCGGGTCTACACTGGAGCTGTGGATGGTGTAGCGCAAGCCATCTATGGTCCCTCATTAGGCGCACGCGTCCTGTGGCTGCTCCCGTGGAGGATGCAGTGACAGGCAAATCCGGAACCGGATGCCGTCAACCATGTAGGTTGCGTTTATTATGCTTCACTGTAGTTGAGCAAGAGTGAATTACACCAGGCCCTTTCCGCATTACCCTAGATTTGACATAATCCACTTCACTGAACTTGCACGGTTTTTTTTACCTTCCGCATATTCCCTGTTTATTTCGCGCGTTTTTATCTTTCATTTTCCACGTTAGTCGGTGGATATCTACTGATTTACACATACACGCCCAATATAACGCTAACAATAGATCAGAATTCATACACATTTTTAATTTGCTCAGTTCTGTCACTCTGCCGCATATTTACTATCCAGTTTGCACTTTCGTATTCTTCTATATTCTTTCGTATTCAAAATGCTGCCGCGACCTGAGGTTGAGGTTGCATACATCACGCTTCTTAATCGAAATTGAGCTACACCGAGTTACACCTCAACTAAATCCTATATGGAGAAAGAGTATTCTACTTGATTTGAGTTGATCAGTTCTGTTATTCTGCTGCGTATCTCGTGTAAATTTTGAGTTCATTTTCTTTCGAATTCTGTGTTGATTGTCTGATATGCCCGGTGT